CCTTCTCTTTTGCCATAACAACTCATCAAAATACATGAAATCCCTTTGGTTTCTAGGCTGCCGAAAAGCTTCCCGATAGCCTATGGTCTCATCCTTAAAACCACCATCACCATTATCATCAACGTCCTCCTCATAATCATCCCACTTTGGCCTTTCAGCCCCACTGCCATGGTTTGATTTCAATTCAGCACCACCCTTCCTCACATCTTGGGTACATGTTCCAGCCATGTTACCATGTATTGCCACCTTCTCAAGTCTGTCACACACGTTCCCCATCGTGAAATTCATTCTCTCCATCATCTTCGTCATGGCTTGCATTTGGAATTTAAGCTCTACATCGGGAGGGCGCGGTGTGTTGTTTTGTTATGACATGATATTTACCTGCAAAAATTGGTTAGTGAAAAAAAAAATATATCCTCACGTCGCTCGTGTTTCACTCAAACACTCTGAATGTCCTCACACGCTCACACCTCTCGTCTCACCTTCTTACGGTTCTTGCGAAACTGAAACCAACACCAAATAAATCCAACTTGGCAGCGCAATCCAAATATATATATATATATATATATATATATGACTCAAGAAGCAATAAAAACAAGCAAAACAAAACTGCGATGATAGTCCCGCGAGTAGCTAGCGAGTCTATCCGAAATATGAACGAAACTGAAGACTCGAATAAAAAACAGAAACAAGATATGAAAAACAATGAAACAACACCCAGATATGTTGGATGTGATGAAAATAAACTGCAAGAAACGAAAACAACAGAAAGAAAGTGAATTTCAAAAGTTGACGCAAAACAGACTCGTTTACGACGAGTTAAGTCCGGATCTGGAACCTAAAGTAAATGATGTCCAATTGAGCTAAAATTTCAGATATAGCGCTCTACCAACCCAAATAGACAGAATATAAAGTTTGAGCAATTTACGATAAGGTTTGATAGACTGACGCAAAAACGTTATGAATCAAACCTAATTAGACCCGAATTTGAAACCCAAAGCAAACGATATCCAATTGACCCCAAAATCAATATTTGGTGTGATTAGGGTCCCAGTAATAACATAATCAAATTTGAGCTCATTCTGAGTTGATTTGATCAAATTTTCCTTTGTTTAGTTTTCTGCAGCAGAAACAAACAAATGACTTTTTCTTTGTTTTTTTTTTTCTTGTGTTTTAATGCAACTGATATATTTTGGTCAGGAACCAAACTAAATAACTTTTTTTTTTTTTTTTGATATGATATCAAATCAAGAGAAGAAGAAATTTTTTTTTTTGGTAAGCCGAGAAGAAGAAAAGAAGAGAAGAAGAAATTGGACACTAAGGAATTTCTTTTTTTTTTTGCGGAAACAACAAGAAACGAAAATTTCAGAAGGATATAACCTGATTAATGAAGCCAAGCTCCGATACCAAATGATGTGAACCTCGTGATCACGTGGTCGTGCAACCCACACGCAAAGACACCAATTCCTGGAAAGCCAAGTAAATCAGGTTTGATAGGAGTGTGACACAAAGATAACTTGTACATAGGCACCAGCACTATTGGAAACGGAGACCCCCACCCAACGAATATTGATTCGCGAACGAGAAGTATAAGGATGACGCCACGAAGACAGTTGTTCTTCGATAAGTCGTTTTCAGTTCTTTAGAGAACCATGGAAGGGAGATTATCTCACCAACACACACACACAAAGTGCGGCAAACAAGAAGTTTTATTAATATGAACTGTCTTCTTACATGTATGGTTATGGTGACTGCAAACTAAAATACACCCTAATGGACCCCTTATGTGGACTTATATGATGCCCACTTACAATTAAACCCAAATAATATAAATATACCCTAAACTAAGAAGAAAATAAATCCGAATTTAATATCCTAAATATGATAGGATCAGATTTGTAGCCCTTTAGAAGTCCTATATAAGCTAGGAGAATCAAATCTGAAGGTAGAATTAGTTCTGAAATCTTCTTTCCTTTTTGTAGCTAGGATGAATAAGGAATCCTTGCAAGAAAAGGATTCTGAAACATTTATGAATCCTTGCCACACTTGGAAACTATGTTGCAGCCCATTAAAGATCTTTGTAGAATTAGGAGATTCCCAAAATAAGCTGCCGCATCCTTTTAGGAAAAGAATCATAGCCAAATAGGAAGTCCACAAGTCAAAAGGAAGTAAATAACAAAACCCATCCTAGTACTACTCTCGCCCAAGCATGTTTAACTGCGGAGTTCTGATGGGATCCGGTGCATTAGTGCTGGTATGATCGCACCCAAAAAAAAAAAATAACAAAACCCGTACAGCCTCTGTTGACCCGTGTTTGGACGCCTTTCCGAACTCCAATTGACATGATATTTTAACCCAAGGTACGAAAACATGTCAGGAGCCTCCACGTAAAATTTCAGCCCGATCCAACGGTGGGATTGAGAATTATGACTATTTCCGTAAAACTGGATAGTTGCGCATTTTACGTCAAAATCCGAATTTGACCTTCGCTGGATCGTATCATTCCTCTCTCTTCAAGATGATTCGTCCTCGAATCACCAACAAGTTGAATGGACAATTCCTTAGCCTCATTTTGAAGCTTTGGAATTCTTTTCTTGCCAACAATCGTCGCCAACAACTTCGGATGAAAGTAGCAGCCGTTCCATTTCGTATTTCATCATTGCAACGTTTTTTCTCCTCTCCTTCTGAAGCTCGCGGCGCATTGCTTACCAAAAAAAAAAAAAAGCTTGCTGCGCATTGACTGCTGCCGTTAACACATCAAGTTCTTGCTTCATCTCCCCGAGAATACGGGATAGACTCTTGGATTCTTTTTGTAGAACACCAATCTCTTTATTTCTGTCCCTTTGATACCACCTCTCCTTTTGAATCCTCCTTCTCTTTTGCCATAACAACTCATCAAAATACATGAAATCCCTTTGGTTTCTAGGCTGCCGAAAAGCTTCCCGATAGCCTATGGTCTCATCCTTAAAACCACCATCACCATTATCATCAACGTCCTCCTCATAATCATCCCACTTTGGCCTTTCAGCCCCACTGCCATGGTTTGATTTCAATTCAGCACCACCCTTCCTCACATCTTGGGTACATGTTCCAGCCATGTTACCATGTATTGCCACCTTCTCAAGTCTGTCACACACGTTCCCCATCGTGAAATTCATTCTCTCCATCATCTTCGTCATGGCTTGCATTTGGAATTTAAGCTCTACATCGGGAGGGCGCGGTGTGTTGTTTTGTTATGACATGATATTTACCTGCAAAAATTGGTTAGTGAAAAAAAAAATATATCCTCACGTCGCTCGTGTTTCACTCAAACACTCTGAATGTCCTCACACGCTCACACCTCTCGTCTCACCTTCTTACGGTTCTTGCGAAACTGAAACCAACACCAAATAAATCCAACTTGGCAGCGCAATCCAAATATATATATATATATATATATATATATATATGACTCAAGAAGCAATAAAAACAAGCAAAACAAAACTGCGATGATAGTCCCGCGAGTAGCTAGCGAGTCTATCCGAAATATGAACGAAACTGAAGACTCGAATAAAAAACAGAAACAAGATATGAAAAACAATGAAACAACACCCAGATATGTTGGATGTGATGAAAATAAACTGCAAGAAACGAAACAACAGAAAGAAAGTGAATTTCAAAAGTTGACGCAAAACAGACTCGTTTACGACGAGTTAAGTCCGGATCTGGAACCTAAAGTCAATGATGTCCAATTGAGCTAAAATTTCAGATATAGCGCTCTACCAACCCAAATAGACAGAATATAAAGTTTGAGCAATTTACGATAAGGTTTGATAGACTGACGCAAAAACGTTATGAATCAAACCTAATTAGACCCGAATTTGAAACCCAAAGCAAACGATATCCAATTGACCCCAAAATCAATATTTGGTGTGATTAGGGTCCCAGTAATAACATAATCAAATTTGAGCTCATTCTGAGTTGATTTGATCAAATTTTCCTTTGTTTAGTTTTCTGCAGCAGAAACAAACAAATGACTTTTTCTTTGTTTTTTTTTTTCTTGTGTTTTAATGCAACTGATATATTTTGGTCAGGAACCAAACTAAATAACTTTTTTTTTTTTTTGATATGATATCAAATCAAGAGAAGAAGAAATTTTTTTTTTTGGTAAGCCGAGAAGAAGAAAAGAAGAGAAGAAGAAATTGGACACTAAGGAATTTCTTTTTTTTTTGCGGAAACAACAAGAAACGAAAATTTCAGAAGGATATAACCTGATTAATGAAGCCAAGCTCCGATACCAAATGATGTGAACCTCGTGATCACGTGGTCGTGCAACCCACACGCAAAGACACCAATTCCTGGAAAGCCAAGTAAATCAGGTTTGATAGGAGTGTGACACAAAGATAACTTGTACATAGGCACCAGCACTATTGGAAACGGAGACCCCCACCCAACGAATATTGATTCGCGAACGAGAAGTATAAGGATGACGCCACGAAGACAGTTGTTCTTCGATAAGTCGTTTTCAGTTCTTTAGAGAACCATGGAAGGGAGATTATCTCACCAACACACACACACAAAGTGCGGCAAACAAGAAGTTTTATTAATATGAACTGTCTTCTTACATGTATGGTTATGGTGACTGCAAACTAAAATACACCCTAATGGACCCCTTATGTGGACTTATATGATGCCCACTTACAATTAAACCCAAATAATATAAATATACCCTAAACTAAGAAGAAAATAAATCCGAATTTAATATCCTAAATATGATAGGATCAGATTTGTAGCCCTTTAGAAGTCCTATATAAGCTAGGAGAATCAAATCTGAAGGTAGAATTAGTTCTGAAATCTTCTTTCCTTTTTGTAGCTAGGATGAATAAGGAATCCTTGCAAGAAAAGGATTCTGAAACATTTATGAATCCTTGCCACACTTGGAAACTATGTTGCAGCCCATTAAAGATCTTTGTAGAATTAGGAGATTCCCAAAATAAGCTGCCGCATCCTTTTAGGAAAAGAATCATAGCCAAATAGGAAGTCCACAAGTCAAAAGGAAGTAAATAACAAAACCCATCCTAGTACTACTCTCGCCCAAGCATGTTTAACTGCGGAGTTCTGATGGGATCCGGTGCATTAGTGCTGGTATGATCGCACCCAAAAAAAAAAAAATAACAAAACCCGTACAGCCTCTGTTGACCCGTGTTTGGACGCCTTTCCGAACTCCAATTGACATGATATTTTAACCCAAGGTACGAAAACATGTCAGGAGCCTCCACGTAAAATTTCAGCCCGATCCAACGGTGGGATTGAGAATTATGACTATTTCCGTAAAACTGGATAGTTGCGCATTTTACGTCAAAATCCGAATTTGACCTTCGCTGGATCGTATCATTCCCTCTCTCTTCAAGATGATTCGTCCTCGAATCACCAACAAGTTGAATGGACAATTCCTTAGCCTCATTTTGAAGCTTTTGGAATTCTTTTCTTGCCAACAATCGTCGCCAACAACTTTGGATGAAAGTAGCACCCATTGTCTTTCGTATTTCTTCATTGCAACGTTTTTTCTCCTCTCTTTTTGAAGCTTGCTGTGCATTGCTTACCAAAAAAAAAAAAAAGCTTGCTGCGCATTGACTGCTGCCGTTAACACATCAAGTTCTTGCTTCATCTCCCCGAGAATACGGGATAGACTCTTGGATTCTTTTTGTAGAACACCAATCTCTTTATTTCTGTCCCTTTGATACCACCTCTCCTTTTGAATCCTCCTTCTCTTTTGCCATAACAACTCATCAAAATACATGAAATCCCTTTGGTTTCTAGGCTGCCGAAAAGCTTCCCGATAGCCTATGGTCTCATCCTTAAAACCACCATCACCATTATCATCAACGTCCTCCTCATAATCATCCCACTTTGGCCTTTCAGCCCCACTGCCATGGTTTGATTTCAATTCAGCACCACCCTTCCTCACATCTTGGGTACATGTTCCAGCCATGTTACCATGTATTGCCACCTTCTCAAGTCTGTCACACACGTTCCCCATCGTGAAATTCATTCTCTCCATCATCTTCGTCATGGCTTGCATTTGGAATTAAGCTCTACATCGGGAGGGCGCGGTGTGTTGTTTTGTTATGACATGATATTTACCTGCAAAAATTGGTTAGTGAAAAAAAAAATATATCCTCACGTCGCTCGTGTTTCACTCAAACACTCTGAATGTCCTCACACGCTCACACCTCTCGTCTCACCTTCTTACGGTTCTTGCGAAACTGAAACCAACACCAAATAAATCCACTTGGCAGCGCAATCCAAATATATATATATATATATATATATATATATATATATATGACTCAAGAAGCAATAAAAACAAGCAAAACAAAACTGCGATGATAGTCCCGCGAGTAGCTAGCGAGTCTATCCGAAATATGAACGAAACTGAAGACTCGAATAAAAAACAGAAACAAGATATGAAAAACAATGAAACAACACCCAGATATGTTGGATGTGATGAAAATAAACTGCAAGAAACGAAAACAACAGAAAGAAAGTGAATTTCAAAAGTTGACGCAAAACAGACTCGTTTACGACGAGTTAAGTCCGGATCTGGAACCTAAAGTCAATGATGTCCAATTGAGCTAAAATTTCAGATATAGCGCTCTACCAACCCAAATAGACAGAATATAAAGTTTGAGCAATTTACGATAAGGTTTGATAGACTGACGCAAAAACGTTATGAATCAAACCTAATTAGACCCGAATTTGAAACCCAAAGCAAACGATATCCAATTGACCCCAAAATCAATATTTGGTGTGATTAGGGTCCCAGTAATAACATAATCAAATTTGAGCTCATTCTGAGTTGATTTGATCAAATTTTCCTTTGTTTAGTTTTCTGCAGCAGAAACAAACAAATGACTTTTTCTTTGTTTTTTTTTTTCTTGTGTTTTAATGCAACTGATATATTTTGGTCAGGAACCAAACTAAATAACTTTTTTTTTTTTTTGATATGATATCAAATCAAGAGAAGAAGAAATTTTTTTTTTGGTAAGCCGAGAAGAAGAAAAGAAGAGAAGAAGAAATTGGACACTAAGGAATTTCTTTTTTTTTTTGCGGAAACAACAAGAAACGAAAATTTCAGAAGGATATAACCTGATTAATGAAGCCAAGCTCCGATACCAAATGATGTGAACCTCGTGATCACGTGGTCGTGCAACCCACACGCAAAGACACCAATTCCTGGAAAGCCAAGTAAATCAGGTTTGATAGGAGTGTGACACAAAGATAACTTGTACATAGGCACCAGCACTATTGGAAACGGAGACCCCCACCCAACGAATATTGATTCGCGAACGAGAAGTATAAGGATGACGCCACGAAGACAGTTGTTCTTCGATAAGTCGTTTTCAGTTCTTTAGAGAACCATGGAAGGGAGATTATCTCACCAACACACACACACAAAGTGCGGCAAACAAGAAGTTTTATTAATATGAACTGTCTTCTTACATGTATGGTTATGGTGACTGCAAACTAAAATACACCCTAATGGACCCCTTATGTGGACTTATATGATGCCCACTTACAATTAAACCCAAATAATATAAATATACCCTAAACTAAGAAGAAAATAAATCCGAATTTAATATCCTAAATATGATAGGATCAGATTTGTAGCCCTTTAGAAGTCCTATATAAGCTAGGAGAATCAAATCTGAAGGTAGAATTAGTTCTGAAATCTTCTTTCCTTTTTGTAGCTAGGATGAATAAGGAATCCTTGCAAGAAAAGGATTCTGAAACATTTATGAATCCTTGCCACACTTGGAAACTATGTTGCAGCCCATTAAAGATCTTTGTAGAATTAGGAGATTCCCAAAATAAGCTGCCGCATCCTTTTAGGAAAAGAATCATAGCCAAATAGGAAGTCCACAAGTCAAAAGGAAGTAAATAACAAAACCCGTACAGCCTCTGTTGACCCGTGTTTGGACGCCTTTCCGAACTCCAATTGACATGATATTTTAACCCAAGGTACGAAACATGTCAGGAGCCTCCACGTAAAATTTCAGCCCGATCCAACGGTGGGATTGAGAATTATGACTATTTCCGTAAAACTGGATAGTTGCGCATTTTACGTCAAAATCCGAATTTGACCTTCGCTGGATCGTATCATTCCCTCTCTCTTCAAGATGATTCGTCCTCGAATCACCAACAAGTTGAATGGACAATTCCTTAGCCTCATTTTGAAGCTTTTGGAATTCTTTTCTTGCCAACAATCGTCGCCAACAACTTTGGATGAAAGTAGCACCCATTGTCTTTCGTATTTCTTCATTGCAACTTTTTTCTCCTCTCTTTTTGAAGCTTGCTGCGCATTGCTTACCAAAAAAAAAAAAAGCTTGCTGCGCATTGACTGCTGCCGTTAACACATCAAGTTCTTGCTTCATCTCCCCGAGAATACGAGATAGACTCTTGGATTCTTTTTTTAGAACACAAATCTCTTTATTTCTGTCCCTTTGATACCACCTCTCCTTTTGAATCCTCCTTCTCTTTTGCCATAACAACTCATCAAAATACATGAAATCCCTTTGGTTTCTAGGCTGCCGAAAAGCTTCCCGATAGCCTATGGTCTCATCCTTAAAACCACCATCACCATTATCATCAACGTCCTCCTCATAATCATCCCACTTTGGCCTTTCAGCCCCACTGCCATGGTTTGATTTCAATTCAGCACCACCCTTCCTCACATCTTGGGTACATGTTCCAGCCATGTTACCATGTATTGCCACCTTCTCAAGTCTGTCACACACGTTCCCCGTCGTGAAATTCATTCTCTCCATCATCTTCGTCATGGCTTGCATTTGGAATTTAAGCTCTACATCGGGAGGGCGCGGTGTGTTGTTTTGTTATGACATGATATTTACCTGCAAAAATTGGTTAGTGAAAAAAAAAATATATCCTCACGTCGCTCGTGTTTCACTCAAACACTCTGAATGTCCTCACACCTCTCGTCTCACCTTCTTACGGTTCTTGCGAAACTGAAACCAACACCAAATAAATCCAACATGGCAGCGCAATCCAAATATATATATATATATATATATATATATGACTCAAGAAGCAATAAAAACAAGCAAAACAAAACTGCGATGATAGTCCCGCGAGTAGCAAGCGAGTCTATCCGAAATATGAACGAAACTGAAGACTCGAATAAAAAACAGAAACAAGATATGAAAAACAATGAAACAACACCCAGATATGTTGGATGTGATGAAAATAAACTGCAAGAAACGAAAACAACAGAAAGAAAGTGAATTTTCAAAAGTTGACGCAAAACAGACTCGTTTACGACGAGTTAAGTCCGGATCTGGAACCTAAAGTCAATGATGTCCAATTGAGCTAAAATTTCAGATATAGCGCTCTACCAACCCAAATAGACAGAATATAAAGTTTTAGCAATTTACGATAAGGTTTGATAGACTGACGCAAAAACGTTATGAATCAAACCTAATTAGACCCGAATTTGAAACCCAAAGCAAACGATATCCACTTGACCCCAAAATCAATATTTGGTGTGATTAGGGTCCCAGTAATAACATAATCAAATTTGAGCTCATTCTGAGTTGATTTGATCAAATTTTCCTTTGTTTAGTTTTCTGCAGCAGAAACAAACAAATGACTTTTTCTTGTTTTTTTTTTCTTCCTTTTTTTTTTTTGTGTTTTAATGCAACTGATATATTTTGGTCAGGAACCAAACTAAATAACTTTTTTTTTTTTTTTTGATATGATATCAAATCAAGAGAAGAAGAAATTGGACACTAAGGAATTTCTTTTTTTTTGCGGAAACAACAAAGAAACGAAAATTTCAGAAGGATATAACCTGATTAATGAAGCCAAGCTCCGATACCAAATGATGCGAACCTCGTGATCACGTGTCGTGCAACCCACACGCAAAGACACCAATTCCTGGAAAGCCAAGTAAATCAGGTTTGATAGGAGTGTGACACAAAGATAACTTGTACATAGGCACCAGCACTATTGGAAACGGAGACCCCCACCCAACGAATATTGATTCGCGAACGAGAAGTATAAGGATGACGCCACGAAGACAGTTGTTCTTCGATAAGTCGTTTTCAGTTCTTTAGAGAACCATGGAAGGGAGATTAT